ATAATAGAACATTCTGTTACATGTGATTATCTCCTCAGTTTAAAATGTGTATAGAATTTCAATCGTCTATAATATTATAAACATATTATTATCAACTAGTGATTAAACTCTTATAATAGTTCTTTTTGGTATAAATATATGATTTCATAATAATTTTTTATTTTAGTTTTGTGAAATCTACTAACATTTCTCTTTAAATCTACATATAAAATTTGTTATTTTTTTTTATTATCATTACACTTAGCTATCTAGGTTATCTTGTATCAATAAAGGTTGTACTCGTAGTTATTTGATAAATATTAATTCATAATTTGTAAATGTGTATTACTTATCAATATATTGAAAAAAGTATTACTTGTTATGATTTAAACTTGTATAAATACTTTCACTTTAAGATGTGTTCATTCGTACGTGTCATGGAGTGCGTCCATATTGTATTCTACTATTCTTTGCCAAAATAGGACATATATTGAAAGTCTACCAAACTTTTGAATTTTAACTTTTAACGTGGTGGGGAAACTATGTTTGATGCTCAACTAATTTACTTTTCATAAAGCAAAAGAATTGTAGTAATATTCTATGGGAAAAAAAAAATCATAGCTTATCATTAAATGAAATCTTTCCTCAAGTGTTATTACCATTTGATAGATTTAGCTTTTCATTTTTGGTAGTAATTTTAAGGTCATCGACTCGATTTAATATAATAGAATTTATAAATTACCAATAGGTTTAAATTTTTTTTTTTATTTTAGACAAGTTAGGAGGTATAGAGTATACATTTTATATAAAATGAGTTTGATTTTGGTTTAACCAAATGGTGGGATCAAAGGGGTTGCACCTCTTTACAAGGTTTGAGGCAACTTCCGAGTCGGGACGGGTCATTGCGTTGTGCAATGCCCCATCCATTTCCTAAGGAAAGTATTATAAAAAATATTAATTTCGAATTATATGTGTTAATAATTTCCTTGAAAACGTCATTTTTATTTATGAGATAAAATCAACATTTAATGTTTATTTTATCATTAGTAATCATAAGATCTCAAATTATGTAAACACTAATGTGTGATTTCTTATCAGTGGTTTGATAAAAATTGTTCCTTGTATGATTATCCTCATAATCTATCATATTCTGATCATACGATCTTTCAAGTAGATCTAGAAATGTCTTAATAATTTTTATAAGAAAAGATAGCCTAAAAATAACGCAAAACCACAAACACAATCGCTATTCTTTGAGAGTTAATGTCTAATTATTATAAAGGTTTTATCCAAAACTTAATCCAAATTTTCAACTCTAAAACCATCTCCCACTCATCTTTATTTTTTCCCCCATAAATGGAGTAAAAAATAGAGTAAACAGTATTTCATCTTCAATCCTACTCCATTTTCTACCTTATTTTTTACCCCAAAAATTATATTCTTTGAATATTCCATTTTTATAACTTATATATATTGTCAAATACACCCCTATACTAATTAAACTCTATATTTATGATTAATTAATACAAATTAGTATATAACATTATATTATAAATATTAGATACTGTATTTAAATTATTATTAGTAGATAAAATAAACTAGAAATGTATAAAATAAAAATAAAAGAGACTAAAATTGACAACCAAACTTCACCTCTATTTTTGGAGATATGAATAGTATTCCCCCATATATGGGGGAATACTATTCATATCTCCAAAAATGAAGGTGAAAATGGGGTAGAGTTGGAGAAGAATGGAGGAAGAAATAGGGGAATAAATGGAGTTTGGGGGTGGGTTGGAGATGCCCTAATAAACTCAAAGACGGAGACAGTTAACGTAATTATAATAAAAACTAAAACCCTAATACTTTTGATTAGAAATGAAATCCTCTAGTTTAAGAGATAATATAAATGCACGTCGAAGTGGGATATCCTACCTAATAAATGAATGTTTTTTTGTCACATATCATTACCTAATTCAATATGTCACATGATATTTTTTTAATTTTTTCAATTTAATTTAAATCCACTTGGCAAATTGTGGTTTTTTTGGCTTTGTTATTGAGTTATAAAAAAAATCTAATTTAAAAATATAATAAAGAAAATAAGAAAACTTAAATGTCTCCATAAATTCTCACGGAATTTGTCAATTAAAGTATTAAATTCAATTTAAATTCGAATCAACTTTCTTAATTGAAAAACATAATTTTCGGCCAATCCTTTTTTAATTCATGATAATTTACATAAACCTTACAAAAATTGGTTTATTCACGGCTAATATTGATATTTTTTCCAAATTCAGTTTTGTAAATTATTAAACATGTAATGTTTAACAAAATATATTAATTTTTTAAAAAAAAAAAAACTCGTGTATTATACGGATCTCATACCTAGTGAATTATGTAATCTAAATCATAGATATTTTATGAGATAATTCTTATGAGAATTAATTTAAAAATAAATAAATAAACTCTACAAATAAAATAATGGCTTAGTACTTTTAGCTCGTTGTCCCAAAACCCTTTAGGTCAAAAACTTAACCCAATTACAAAATCAAAGTTCTTATGGTTATCTTTGAGTTGTCTTACATCACTAAACCTAAACAAAACTAGCAATAATGAAAATTCCCCTAAAAAGAAGTATTGAATTTGAAGATCTAATACAAAGACGCCAAGAAGAAAGATAATCAAAATGATAAATAAAAAGTAATAAATAAAAAAAAAGGTTACAGTTTTAATTTGTTTCTTGTTTTTCGTTTAAGGTTAAAATGTGAGAAATAATGATATATCAGGACTTATTTGTTGGTGATTTTGGTGTTATCAACATATTTTAGTATAGTTATTATTAATTTTTAGATAAGTTGAGTTCTATGTACTCACCGATATTGAAGGTGCGGGGAGCACACTCAAATGATAAAATATAAACTCGAGAATACGAGGATCCGGGGATAGCTATCATGGGACGACTCAGTCACCGTGTGTCACTTAATGTTGCTTCGACTAAGTCAAACTTATTACACTTCCTTCGTATGTACTAACAACTTGGAAATCATGAGACTAAAGCTTTAGAGTTACTACAAACGATAAAGAACTCTACTATAAGAACTCGAGAGAATACAAAGCAACTTTCGATGATTTGCTATAAATGACTATGCCGCTATTTATAGGGTTCTTACACCTCCTCAAATGGAAGTATGCAGATCCTAATCTTTCTCGATTATTCTAGACCGTTCCTACGTGACCTTTATATTTACATAGTTCTAAAATATTCCAAACTATGCTACGATGTCCTAGAGAATTTTAGGATGTTCCAGGGACTTTCAGGTTACTCTTTTGTGATCTAGCATCTTCTCGAGTACTTTGGTGAATTTTGGAATCTTGATTGTGACACAACGCCCCTAAGTATAGGGTTCCAAGGGGCAACGTATGAAACCTAGATGCATTTCTATTGCATAAAATAGTTTGAACATGCATATCTCACCAAAACAGGTTGTGACATCATTGTGATGTAAGAATCGGTTATGTCTTATAATCACTGGTTTTGAAGTCATTTTGTATGTAACCAACTTCTAACTGTCATGTTCCTTGTATAAAAGGAAGATGAATGTTCCAGAAAATGGTTAACACTTTCAATACCCGAAATTGATTATTTGAATCTGTCTCTAAAAAACACAAAATGGCAAGGTATTTTCTGTGTTTCGAATTTGGAAGTGGTCTTACTTCTAAATTGCCATTCTTAGATTATCCCAAATCAGGTTTTGTGATACCCCAAGCAAAATGATCGAAATAATACATTCTGGAAAGTGATTGCAATCACGATTCATGAAGTATCGAAGTTTATAGGGTTAATGACATGGGAACGTAACAAACTTTGGTCTTTGTCCACATTTAGGTAATTATGTTTTTTTTCATTCACATTTGACCATTGAACTTGTTTGACTTGTTCAAAATAGGGTAATATGACTGGTAATTACGGTAATATTACCTTATTATAAATAGGTAAAACAAGTTTATAGGTCAAATGTGTACGAAAAAAACATGGTTACCTAAATATGGACAAAAACCAAAGTTTCTTACCCATTTTTGGTAATATTGGATAAGAACCGTCTCAAGGACTATGCCTTGGGATCAGGCCTGGCAGTCAATGAACAATTAGGTTAGGCTTGGTCTAACTTAGTTCAATCCCGACTAGTCATGGGCTAGGTTGTGTTGCTAGGTCTTTAAAGCACATACAGCCTAGCCGCTTAAGTGTATACATCCTAACCCCTAACTAGCTAGGCCTAAACTGGGTTGGCCCAAGACTTGACCATCTCCTCATACACAAAGACCGGACAACCAAATTTCATGTCACATCAATGGATCTCATGACTACTTGCACTTAAGATAAAAAAAACTCAATATTACCAAAATGGGTAAGGAACTTTGGTTTTTGTCCATATTTAGGTAACCATGTTTTTTTCGTACATATTTGACCGGTAAACTTGTTTGACCTATTCATAATAGGGTAATGTTACCACTAATTACTAGTCATATTACCTTATTTTGAACAGGTCAAACAATTTAATGGTAAAATGCATACGAAAAAAGCATAGTTACCTTTATGTGAACGAAGACCAAAGTTCATTACCTTTCAAGTACATTAACCCAAGTTTATAATGATATTTTTAGACTCAATATGTAATATTATCTGTATCTTCCTATCATTATTTCTTATTGTTACCAGAATGCATTTTCAGTGTTTTCTTATCAAGGTAATCTACATTGAAAGCTCTATTTATCTTTTGTCAATAACCATTTGTTTCAGAATTACAAATAACCCTAGGCTCTGGTGACACTAACTTCCCGCTGTTGACTTCATCTTCAGTCACTTTCCGGTGGGGGTGGGGGGTTTAGGATGGCTCTTCTATCTGTGTTGTGTCTACTGATCTCGTTCTTCTTCAGTGGATTTGTTTCCTTCTTCTCGCAGGATTCTCGACTTCCTTATCAGAATAGGTGTGTTTTAATTTGTTATTGTTCTTTGTTCAATGGGTGGCAGATCAAAAGGAGACAGGGGTATTGGATCGTCGTTTAACTCTAAGGATACATGGAACGTGGATAGGATATTAGTGCCTTTTTATTTTACCAGTTTCCCTGATGATATTGATTCCAAGAGGCCATGGACCATTTGTGATAAATATAGTGTAGTGTCAGATGTGTACATGGCTTATAAGTTGTCAAATCTTGGTAAGAAATTCTCTTTTGTTGGGTTTATTAAAGTAGTGGATCAAAGGGCTCTTGAATCTAAATTACGTGAAATCTAGATTGGAAAAATTCACCTATTTGTTTCTATTTCTCAGTTTGGGAGGGATAATGTTAACACCTCCAAACCACAGGTGCATTCTCAAATTAGTAGAGATAAGGGTATGGTGAATGGTGGAGGATTTGGTTCATATGCGAATGTTGTTAAGTCTGGAATTGTCCCTGATCAGTCAAAGAATTTGAAGTCCATTGTTTTACAGGATTCAGAAATTACGAACCCTCAATCTTTAAGTCCCTCGGTATTGGAAATGTTTGTATTGTTAAAAATATCCCAAACTGGTGGTATTACTTAGGAAGAAGGTTTTCCTGACATTCAAATTCAATATGTGTGTGGTGATTATTGGTTTTATGTGTCTTCTGATTTGGAAAAAGATTGCTCTAGACTTAAAAAATCTAAACACGTTCATGCATATTTCTCAATGTTTAGACCTATGGTTAGTGGATTTATAATTAAAGAAAGAGTCGATTAGATTGAGCTTATGGGACTCCCTTGTTATGCCTAGAATGATGGTGATGTTCCAAAGATCGAAAACATATGGGGAAGGTGTTTCTTAGAGGAAGATGGTGAAGCACCATTGGCTATGAAACAGGTTTGTATCAAAACTTTGAAACCTTCTCTTATTCAAGATAAGGTTAAATTGGCCATTCAAGGGATAGAGTATATTATTGGGGTTTGTGAATTGTCTAATTGGGAACTGGAGATTATTGATAGTGGAGAATCTTTGGATAGTGATATTCCATCGCTTTTGGGAGAATCGGATGATGAAATTTGTTTTGGTCAGAATAATGTGGATGAGAATTTTCATTTTACTCATCAAGAAGGAAAAGAAATTGGTGAAATTGGAGATGGTGGGGATCCTATCGATTTGGGATCCTAATGTTTTCGTTAAAAATAGTGTCGTTTGTACTAATCATGTGGTCATTGTTAGTGGAGTTTGGGTTCCTTTTGTTTACAAAAATGTTTTCAAATCATTATCCATCAGAGTGTCCCAAAATCATATCATAAGAATGAGGAGCAGTACGGTCATGCCGTAGCCTTACCATGATCTCCTGAAGTACCTCAAACGATAAACTGAAAACTGTAAGCCCGAGGGCTTAGTGAGCTACCCCTAAAATACCAATACCACACTGACAATACCATATCAGTAATAATCAATCAATCAACATGCATACTGGGCCATCGGCCTGACTGGACCGCCCTACAGGGCCTAAATTCTATCTAGATCTATCCCGAGCCTTCGGCATGACTGGTCCGCCACATGGGCCTACAGTCTCCCCGGACCGTTCATAGGGTATGTTGGCCTTCAGCACAAAGCAGGACCGCCTCAACCCAACCAATCAAGCAAATAACCATGTGCGCATAAACATCATATACTGGCATATACAAACATCAAACATATCTATCTCACTGATCATCAATCATAGAATTCTCCTGTAACTAGAGTATCGACCTAGCAGGTCACTAAAATACCAATCCTTACGGATCATAAGAGCATAACATACTGTCTACCCTAATTCTGATCTAAAAGATCATAATCACATGTAGCATACCATAACAATAACAACTAAAGGGTCGGCCTTGGTGCCGTAGACCCTATTGATATAGTGAGGATAACTCACCTTGCAGATATCGACTCGGAAGGTAAACTCCAACTCTTGGATCACTTGACACAGGCTCCACCACCTATTATAATAATACAATATACTCCTAAGTCCATCCTTTAAGGTACTCCATAACCCACTAGCCAACCCCTAATCAAAGTCAAAGTCCTCAGTCAAGGTCAACAGTCCATGTTGACCTCGACTCGCCGAGTACCCTCGGCTACTCGTCGAGTTCCTTGAAGCAGATTCCAACTCGCCGAGTCATCGGGGTGACTCGTCGAGTTCCTTCGATTCTCGATCAAACTTTAAGACCACCCGTCGAGTTTCCTCCTTGCAACTCGACGGATACACACGCATACATATCCTGGAGAAAACTCATCCAACTCGCCAATTTGTTCTTCAACTCGTCGAGCCTATGGCAATCATCATCGGACTCGTCGAGTTGTTCCTCCAACTCATCGAGTTCACGGCCATCTTCATGTGACTTGCCGAGTCAACCTTGCGACTCTCCGAGTCCATTCAATCCTTTTTCCATACAGACTTGTTCTGAGCCATGCAGCGGCTCCAAATCACAGATCCAAGCTTCTAGGGCACGCTTTTCACATAAAGTTGCAAACTTTACGTGCATACATAGCTACAAAGGTTCTAAATGCCAAATCTAAGCTCTTAATGGGGTCTCATGCCCAAGGGGGGCCTCATTCATGACCAATAAATCAACTTTATGATTCTAAAACTTAAGTAGGGTCTATATCTGAAGTTATGTGACAACCCAAAATATCTATATTGTACAACATTTCAATTTAATAGAAGTCAGAACTGTTACTGCTAATTTTCAAGCTTTTTGGGATAAGTTTGAGTATTTTAGGGTTAGCACTTTAAGAGATACCAGGAGAGAGGATGCTCTACGGTTTATTGTGCAACAATAATACCCCAAAGATTCAAGAGTTTGAAGTTTACAGCCTAAACAAAGGTGTTTACTGTCGTAAACCCTAAATTAGGGTTATATAAGTGACACTTAGTCATTATTTACCATTTTTCACAAAATCAAGATCCAAATCTCAATTCTCTCTCAAGTATCTTTGACTTTCTTCAAAGATCTTCAACTTGTAAGTGTTTCTAGCCCTATTAAGTTGATATATTACTTAATCTAGTGATCTAACACACTTTCATCCGTGAAATCAATGCAAAAGGTTAGATCTTCAAGTTTCACCAAGAACACACACTAGTGTTCTTGGAATTTTAGCACCTTTTCAAGCCTCTATCTTGTAAGTACTTCTATCCTAGAGTATCTTAAGGCTTGTTACACTTCCATGATGGGTTTTATACAAACAATCCTATGTGTGCATGCAACCCTAGAGTTGGATCTATGTTATCACTATTAGTTATACAACATTATGAACATGTGAAGAAACCTAACAAGCTTCTAGGGATTTCGAAATTCGCAAAGAAAGATGAAATACATACCTCTTTTTGTTCTACTGTAATAACAACTTAAATCTTGAATCTTCTTGTCTTTGAAAGCAAGCGCCACAAGTACCGCGCCTCTAATGGCTCACAAACAAACCTAGCAACCAAGGATTACTATGGAGAGAGAAGGGAAGTGGAAAATTAGGATCTAAGCCTCTCTTGTAGTGCCTTAGATGAAATTCAACCTTGTAGGGGTTTATATAGGTGATAAGGAAGGTTTAGGATAAGGCAGGTGTATCTTAGATAACCCTAATCCCTTAACTTCCTCCCTAAGGCTTCCAAGGCACCCTTAGATCCCAAGGAAACCCTAGGACACTCCAGATTTCGTTCCCCACCTCTAAGGGAGGTTCTAGAATGCTTCAATGCTCAACTTTTGAACATTGTCACCTTTAGCCCTGCAGTTTCAATTAATTCCTTTAATCCTAAAATTAATTCAAAATTAATTTTTGATTAAATATTAATTAAACAATATGATTTCTAATCAATATATTATATCCATAATACATTAATAAATCATTTATCTTGATTTCAAATTAATTTATTAACTAAGTAATAAATTAATAAATCATTCTTTTCTCTCCAACAATTATCCTATTCCATTGCCAGATTTGAAGGCAACCCAAAAGGACCATGCACAACCGGGTCAAGTACTTACCAAATATGGTTATGGGCTTAGACACAAATCCAACATTCCATATATCAAGAAATCACCCAAGAAACACCAAGATGAAGGTGTTTACGGTCCGAGATGTTCTTGAACCGTAAACCCTAAAAAGGGTGCCAAAGTGTGCCCTAGTCCCTCCTAAGCCTTGGAAACAAGCATAGATCCTTTCCTTGATGAGCTTAGCACTTGAAAACATCAAAATACCATTAAACATAGGGGTTTACGACCATAAACCCGAAGGAAAATGGTTTAAGGACTGTAAACTCCATTTAGGAGTGAAATGGTGCCCTAATCCCTTCCATAGGCTTATACTTTAAGTGGAAATGCTTCTAAGGACTTGTAGAGCTTCAAACAACACATGATCAAATAAGAATGAGTTTACGACCGTAAAATCATTATTTTACGACCGTAAACTCAATGAGTGATGGTCACAAAACCGTAAACTCGGATAAGGGGGTTCCCTTGAACCCAAAACTCAATAGCAATGTCCTACAACACTTAGATGCACTCCTTGGGACTTATAACACTTATATAAGGTGTTTAGCATGTCCTAGGAGGTCTTAACTTTGTTTATTAGTTGTTTAAAGACTAATTGGATACATATATGTGATATTATATGTTAACTAGGATCCTTGTGTGTGTTCAAGACTTCACTTGACACCTACCAATCCTCTTTCATCAGTTCATCCATACCACTCACTACCGGAGAGTTCATACCACTTAATCGACCTTTTAAATGTTTTAAATGCTTTTATGGGCGGGGGGGGGGGGGGGGATACAAGTTGAACAATTATAGTTATTATATCAATCACATGTGATTAATAACTACCAAACAAGTGGTTTTCTTACTTTTCAAATTGTGTTATCAAACTGTTTTGCTTCAAACTGTGTTACAAACTCTTTTGCTTGTCAAATACTTTTACTTAAACTCTTTTTATACTTTTATATTGTCAAATGCATGCCTATGTATGTATAGTTATATAAGTAATGCTTAAAGGACTTAGGAAGACTAGCTCGCTTTATCTTATTTTCCACGTTGGGATGTGGCTTTAGGGCATCGGTTAATCGTCCGAATGTCGTCTAAATATTAGTTATATATTATGTATACATATATAGACATAAAAGTTTTATCAGTGAATTCAATACCCTTGGGTAGCAAGGGTATACATTTATGTTCATACGTACAAGTCATATTACTAGTAAACTACGATAGGCGTAGTTTAGGAAGTTACTAATACTATTACTAGAACAAAGAATCATACAATGAGTCAGTTCATTCATGAGTCAATACTTTCTAGATAGAGAGAACACACAATACAGCTAGCATACACAGTACATTACAATACAGGCTAGATAGAGGGAGAACATACATTACAACTAGCATATTCATTACATATACAGTTTTGCAGTTATGTGAGCCACGTTCCGGGGCATGGCACTACCTGCCATGGCCGTTCATGTATCCAGAATCTCCCTAATTGGGGAGCGTATGAGTTTGCGTATAGCTATACTGGATTGACTATCCTACACCTCGCTGCTAGCTACAGTAAGACTTACAAGTCTATGGGTGCCAAATGTCATTTTCTTCCAACATCTTACATTATCGCGTACTATAGTCGGTAGCAGGATACAGGCCGATCACATGGTACTTTAAATTATAATTAGTTTAAGGTAGTTAGTACAGTAGTAGTTACTTATTACAATACTACAATACTATTTCATTTTCCCAGTGCATTCACCTTGTGAGTTTCACACAATATACAGAAATGCAAAAACTATATTTTTGATAAATGATAGTCAGATTTGGGAAAATACACACTCTTACAAGAGACACACACAGATACTAAATGCCTTGGTAGAAGACTACTTTTAGTAGGAAACATAGGGTTTTCTAGGAGTTTGAAAACTTGTACATACTTATACTTCACATACTTACAAATACATTCTTACAAATACAGACACTAAAATACTTATGATCTCACCAGCTTTAAAGCTGATAAACTCTTTCAAAATAACTTGTATTCTCAAGTCACCAGTAGACAGGTACGATGACCAGGTTTTGAGAAGACGGAGCACAGACAAGACTCGTCTTTATTTTGATTACATATGTTGGTGTCTTATTACAACGAAAGAATACTCTTGTAT